CAAGTGGAAGGACTGAAAAGGGCAAGGAGTAAGCCCAAAAGAATGTGGTTGGAAGTAGTCCGAAAAGATATGAATACTTATGGCCTCACTGAGGATATGGCTTTTAATAGAGCAGAATAGAGAATCGGGATTCATGTAGCTGACCCCAATTAATTAGGAAAAGGCTAAAATGATGATAAAGATGATGATGGATGATTATTCACAAATGACATGGTTACATTTAATACAACAGAGATCTGACATTTTCTCCATTTTTAAATTGTTTCACAAGGAGTTCCAGACTCAATTTAATAAGAATGGTGTATTTTGCGTTCTGATAATGCTAAAGAGTATCTTTCTTAATAATTACAAAATTATTTTGCTGAAAATGGAATTTTGCACCTAACTTCTTGTGCACATACTCCTCAACATATGGGATTGCTAAAAGGAAAAATCAACACTTACTTGAAGTAGCCCATTCTTTGCTTATTAATATGCATGTTCCAAATGTTTATTGGTGACTGCATGCTATTTAATTAATTGTATGACCTTTTCAATCTTAAATAAAAAAACACCACACTCGGTTCTCTTTCCTAATGCTCCCCTGTTTGTTGTTCCTCCTTGAGTTGTTTTGTTTGTTTGCTTTGTTTAAATGTTAGGTACCGATAATGATAAGCTAGATCCATGAGCCGTCAAGTGTCTCTTTCTCGAATATTCATGCTTTTAGAAAGGTTATCATTGTTATCATCTTGGTTAACGAAATAAAGTTGTTTATGCTGATGTTACATTTTTCTAAAATACTCCATATTTTTCAAAAGAGAGTCGTCTGCTTGATACAAATATTTGTTATCCTACTTCAAAAGGAGTCTCAAAGTCCTCGCCTTCTATGATTCCTCTTCCTATTCTTGTTCATACTTCTTCTTTGCCTGACTCCACTGAATCTAATACACCTACACATTGTTAAATGCAGGGTGGGCATCCCCCACTGACTCAGCCAGGCACTCAATCATCATCATTGTCTACTGATCCACATCCTTCTTGTTGTGATGATGTACCGATTGCCAAAGGTATCAGGTCTTGTACTCAACATCCGATTGCACATTTTGTTGCCTTTACATTTTTGTCTCCATCATATCAAAATTTTGCTCTAGCCCTTTCATCTATTTCTGTTCCTAAGTCCTACCAGGAAGCACTTTCTCATACTAGGTGGCAGAGAGCAATGGAAGAGGAGATAGATGCCCTTCATTCAAATGATACATGAGAATTCACTGAGTTAACAGTTGGAAAAAGGAATTTTAGGTGTAGATGGGTTGATGCAATCAAATATCAACCTGATAGCCCTATAGAAAGATTAAACGCCTGATTAGTAGCTAAAGGATACACACAAACATTTGGCATTGACTACTCTGAAACATTTGCTTTTGTTGTTAAACTAAATACAATTCAAGCAGTTATATATGTGGCCACCAACAAGGAATGGCCATTGTGGCACTTCCTCCATGGCGATTTACTAGAAGAGGTGTACATGGAGCAGCCGCCTGGGTTTGTTGCTCAGGGGGGGTCGGATATAGCGTGTAAGTTGAAAAAAGCCATTTATGGCCTGAAACAGTCCCCATGGGCTTGGTTTGACAAGTTCAGTGAAATTGTTATAACATACGGATTTTGGCGCAATCATGCAAATCATTCAGTGTTTATTTAAAGACAGGACTCTAGAATAATTGTTTTAGTTGTCTATGTTGATGATAGTGTTGTTATTGGCAATGATCAAGAAGGAATCAGTTTTTAAAGAGACATCTAAAACAATATGTTCATACTAAAGATTTGGGTCAGCTAAGGTATTTTCTAGGAAATGAAGTAGTCAGATCAAAGTATGGCAGTACTTTGTCTCGAAGAAAATATGTGAGTGATTTGTTGGCAGAAACTGGAATGTTGGGTGCTCGACCAGTGGATACTCCTATGGATTCAATTATGAAATTATTAACTGATTAAGGGCCATTGTTTTGAGGATTCAGGAAGGTATAGAAGATTGGTTGGTAGACTGATTTATTTGATCATCACCAAGCCTGATATTGCTTTCGCAACAAGTTTTGTGAGTCAATTTATGCATGCTCCGAGGATTCCTGACTAGGATGTTGCTCGTAGAATTTCAAATTATCTGAAGGGAGTCCCAGGTCGAGATCTGATTTACAAGCAAAATAATCATTTGGCATTGAAGGTTGCTTAGATGCTGATTAGGTTGGTTCACCATTTGATAGGCAGTCCACAGGTTTTTGTACATTCATTGGTGGAAACTTGGAAACATGGAGAAATAAGAAACAAAATACACTACATGTGAATTGGTACTGGAAACTTCCATTCATTGTACATTCATTGGTGGAAACTTCCAGAGGCCTGCATCAAGGAGGTCCACTATCTCCATTCCTCTTCACCATCATGGTAGAGATTTATCCATTTCGATATCCAGACTTTACAAGCAACTATTAAGTAGGTTCAAATCTTTCTAGTGCCGGCCCCTCGGTTTCCCACATCCAATACGCAGATGGTACTTTAGTCCTACTATGCGAGCCCCCAACAAATCAACATCATCTGGTTGTTCAGAAGCTGCTTGGAGCTCACAACTGGTTTGTGGTCAATATGCCCAAATCTGAATTGTTTGGTGTTGTGATGCCCCATGACATGGTTGAATTGGGTGAATGGATGAGACCCAACCAAAAACGTACATTGGTATGCTACTGTGAGCCAAGGAAAACTCAATGGGCCGCCATCGTGAAAAGGTTTGTTTAATCAGACTTGCAGCTTGGAACGGGTAGTTTCTATCTCTTGGAGTAAGCATTACTTTGATCGAAGCAAGCTTAACCGACATTCCGAAATGTCCATCTACAAAATTCCCCTGTCAATTGTGAAGAAGCGAGAATGCTGTACGCGTGAATTCCTCTGTAACAGGGCGGGTCACTGTCACAAGCCCCATCGGTTTGAAGGGATGTGGACTGCAAACCTAAAGCAGGCAAGATGACTCGGCACCCTTAAGCATTGCAATAGTGCTTTGCTAGGAAAGTGGTGGTGGTGCTTTGCACACGGCAACGACCAGCTGTAGCAGCAATTTGTGAAGCACAAATAGGGTACCATTGACGCCATCTGGCTGCCAATAGGCCCAGCCATTGACCGAGCGTTTGTTGCTGGAAACTGGAAAGGCCATGCCAAGCTGCATAATGGGTTCTCCATACTGACCAGATATACAGCCAAAAAAAGGAACCTGATCAAATTCTTCCGCGACCTTTGAAAGGTGAGAACACCCTGCAAGAGCCTTCCCTAGCTTCTACGCCATTGGCGCCAACAAATATATCACTATTGCTGCCAACAAAGATATCCCTCTCTCTCTCTCTCTCTC